GATTCTAAGTCATGCAAAGCAACTTAAATCCCTAAAACAGTAAGTCATTACCAGTTTATGTCAACCCTTTCTCCTACAGGCTTACTTTGAACCTTAGCCTAATTCCATTCCAAATTTCTGGATTTAAGCTTACTTCTCAATTCTTATATAAGTCTTAAGCAGTGTATTACATCATTCAGTAGCCTTGAAACAATTTCAGAAACTCAGTCTTAGCCAAACAGTCCATTAAAACTCAGTATACGCAAAAACAGAGAGCCCTCTTTATTCAAGGAGAGCCGGCTCCCCTTCCTTAGGAGCCGGCTCTAGATGGTTGAGAGCCGGCTCTCAACCCTAGAGATCCGGCTCTTGTGTTTTGGGAGCAGGCTCCCTCCATTTTTGGAGCCTGTTCTCACCTCTAAGAGCCGTGGCTGCGTCTGTGTGTGTCTTCTCCGACTTTGGTGGTTTCCAGTCTTTAAAAATAGTTTAATTACAGATTTTAAAGTCTTATCCTCATCCCAGATTGATCACAAGATAGAGTTATACAAATAGGAATTGAATTAAACATCAGTTTTTAAAACAATGGCAGTAAAAATTTAAAACTGAACTTGTAAACAACTGAGGAACAGATTAATTCAACAATTCTAAATACGAATTAAACATGCATAAAAGATGTATTTAAGTCTTAGTTTAATCCCTAGAGGCTATCTAAGCATGCACAGAACACAAATTCCTGGGAAAGAGAAGATCAGAAACTTGCCTTTGAAACTCAAACTTGCAAAGCTAATTCCACGTCTCTGAGTGTTAAACCACCCTTGCTGCTCTTACTGCAGTCCAGTAACAAACACCAAACTTCCCTCCTCGATTCTGTTTTGTGAACCACCCAATTCCCACTCCGGTTCTCTCTGTATCTCTCTGGTTTTCACTACTAATTTATGGCTCTATTTGTGGTTTACAGAACGTACGTTTATTTTTCCCTAAACCCTAAACCACCGTTGCTTATACTTATAGGTGGAAGCAATAACCCTAATTCACGTGTATTTAGAGACTAAGCCCTAACTCCAATCCTAGTGGACCCATGAAACCATCTAAGCTGTAAAATACAACGGATTACTATACAAACCTTCTTAACCATATTGTTTAACTAACGTATTTGTTTTAAAACAATTCATTCACTTAATTTACATAATTAAATAACTACATCAACTAACTTAAGTCAATTAAAATAAAGAATGCAATTAAACCAAATAAGCCAATTAATTCAAATAAAAACAATTAACTCAATCAAATTATTCCAGTAATTAATTAAAACAAATTTAAGTAAATCATTAATTTAAAAATAAATAAAAACAATTTTAAGTAAACCATTAATTTAAAATAAATACACACTTAATCAATTAAGCAAACCAAAACACATAGCTCACATATTAAAAATGCAATAAAAATCAAAATTATCAAAATTAAATTCCCATTCTATCCTTTTGGAAACTAGGGGTATTACAGTTCTTCACCAAATTTAACAAATCCTCTCTGAAGACGAAGAACAACAAACACATCAAATCGTACCGTTCTTCATCCAAATTTCACGGTGATCAACAACAAGCACATCAAATCGTGTCCTCTTCATCCAAATTCCACGGTGATTCAAGATCAAACTCGTGTAGCCCTTAGATCCAACCAACAAAAAAGAGATCGAATCAGATGACTTTATTCTTTGTAAAGAATATTATTATGGAGGATTGTGCTCAAATTTTCTAAATTAATAAATTACTATTTGCTCCTTATTTTGTTATTTTATTTGCAAACAACAAAATTTATGTGTACAGACACACAGATAAAACTTACCCTATTTTTGGACAATGACACCCCTCAAGTTTCATAAAGTTACCAAAGACACCCTAATGGTAATGAATTGACATTTTTGCCTTTTGACTTTTATATTGACCAATTTAAATGTTGAAATTTCCTTTCTAACCTTAGTAACCCATTTTTTTCCTTCTCACTTCTCTGTGTTCTCTTTTCCTTCATCCTTTCATTTTTTCTTTTTATATAATGCGCGCGCGCACACACACGTATGTATATATATATATATATATCTACTATACCACCAACGTTGTTGCCACTGCCTTAACTGCGTGCCGCCACAATACCCACTGTAGCCGCAGCTACAACAACACCCACCACCACAACCATTGCCACATAACACCCACTACAACCACTGCCGCATCCACACAAACACCACCACACAATACTAAACACCCACTGCAACCACTGCCGCACGCATGCACACACCACCCCAACTTCGCGGCGGAACAATTATCGAAGTCATCAACTCCGACCAGACCAAGATCGCCGAATCCACCATTGCTACAACACTCACCATCTTCTCTTCGATGGTGGTGGCGATCGAGACATCCTAGACGCGTTGAAGGTTCAGATCGGGTCCCAAAACACATAAATATGTATGTATATATACATATACATATACATATGTATATATATCTTGCAAAAGATTCAGATCAAGGTCGATGGTGGTCGCGGATGTGGTTGATGAAGGAGATGATGGCAGCGGTTGTGATTGAGGAGATGGAGCAGTGGAGCTCAATGTTGCATCGTCGATAGAAGCTGGTGAAATATGAACTTAAACCAGAGGGACTTGGATATAACGACGAGGAGATCCGGTGTGGCAGTGGTGGCGGCGTAGTGGACGAGTGGTGGCAGCTGCGCAGTAGATGGGTGTATAGAGAGAAAGGGCAGGGGGTAATTGAGAGAAAGAGGCAAGGGTTGGTCATTTAAGTATTTAGATATTTTATAATTAAAATTAATAAAATAGTGAAGGGCAAATGGATTTTTCACATGTTTTAAGACTATGTTTGGATGATAAATTTCACAAGAGGGTATAATTATCCAAAAATAGGCAAACTTGCATCTGCATGGGTGCCTTACCCCAAACCTTAAGAGGTGTCTCTGTAATTTACCCAAAATTATAATCATAAAACTCCGCATATAAAGTGCATTGTGCACCTTCTCGAGTCGGAGCCGTTGCGAGCACTCCCTCTCGTCTTCGAGGAGCTTGAGTCTGGCCCTAAGCTTCTCTCCCTTGTTGGTAAATTTTTGACTGAATCTTTCAATGTTGTGCTATTATCTTGAAATGTCGTCGTTCAGTCCTTTATCCCCCCATCGTTCGAATTCGAACCTCGAAAGTCCTGCGATTGCTCGCCGTCCATCGTTGCCGATGGTGGTTGTGCTATAGCGGTAGGGACCTCCAGTATAGGCTGTGGATGTGGTTCAATCATGTCATCTCAGCAAGACAAGTTTTAGTCGATCACTGGGCCTCAAACTTTGGCCTAACATTCGGTCGATGGGCCTTGGGCCTTGAACCACAAGCTGATCTCCACAGTCGATCAACAGGCCTTGAACCTCAATCCGACCTCTTTACATATCGTCGATCGACGGGCCTTGAAGCTCGATCCGACCACTTCACAAACTGTCGATCGACGGGCCTTGAATCTCGATCCGATCACTTCACAAACTGTTAATCGATGGGCCTTGAACCTCGATCTGACCTCTTCATAAACTGTCGATCGACAGGCCTTGAACCTCGGTTCGACCTCTTCACAAATTGTCGATCGACGGGCCTTGAACCTCGATCCGACCTCTTTATATATTGTCGATTGATGGGCCTTGAACCTCGATCTGACTACTTCACAAACTATGGATTGACGGGCCTTGAACCTCGATCCGACCTCTTTACATATTGTCGATCGACGGGCCTTAAACCTCGATCCGACTACTTCACAAACTATTGATCAACGGGCCTTGAACTTCGATCCAACCTCTTCCCAAATTGTCGATTGGTGGGCCTTAAATCTCGATACGGCCTTTTTACAAGTTATCAATTAACGGGCCCTGAACCTCGATTTGACTTAGCCACAAACCATCGATCGACGGGCTTTGAACCTCGATCCGAGCAATGAAAAGTTATGGTAGGACTCTTCAAGTGACAAAGGGATGCAAAAGGGATTTTGGAGTGGAGGATGGAAAATAAGTAATGTCTTGCCCACTAAGGCAAGACCCGTTTAAGGATAAGAGCAAAAGACAGCTGGAATAGTACAATTGCCTTTACAGCCTGCCATTTTTTGGATTATTCAATAGGAAAGGCACACTTGGCAGCTGATCCAAAAATGTAGGGATTAGGGCAACATGACCCAAAGAGACATGACCATGACCCATTCTTAAGATGGAGGCCCAACAATGTACCACCTGAATGACCTAGGACTATAAAAAGAGGCAACGACGAAAAAGGCAGGTAGGAACTGACAGCAGCTTTTTCCCTACCATTGCTCCAATTCTCTAACTGGACTGGTTTTCTCTCCCTTCTTCCACCCTTCTGCATTCCTCACATTATTCAGTGGTATATTCCCAGACCTTCTTTGACTCTTCCAGGACCCACGCAGAAACAGGTATCTACACAGGCGAAAGGTCATCGTCATTGCTGGTGGGCATTATTTGTTCCCAGTCAAGGTCTAGCCGTTTCTTCTTCTCTCTCACTTCTTCCACGCATGTAGATCTATATGTATGTGTATGTATGTATTATATGTATATACTACATAGTACACAGACACTTCTTCTGCACTATTAGATGCTCTCAGCTCTCTGCAGTTCTCTCTCCCTTCGTAGCTTTCTCTCTGTGCAATGAGGATGAGGAGAGAGAAAGTAAAGCATGGAAAAGGGAAAATGAAATTGAGGAAAAGGTAAGAATTAGGGCTCACAAATTTTCCTTAATATCCTTCACTAATTAAAAAATAATAATAATAATAATCTTTTAACTATTTATTTATTTATTTATTATTATTATTATTATTATTATTTTTAAGCTCAAACTACTTGGTTACTTAAATTTTAGTTTAAAAAATTTTTAATACTTAATTTCAATAATAATAATAAAAAAAACGCCACCTTTGCTTCTGTGTCTTTTTGTCATGATAAATATTGAAGTGCGAATTTAATTATTTGAGAAAGGATTGTGCAGAAATTATATAATCAAAATTTTAATTATAACAAATTTTGTTACATAAATCAGATAATCATATGAGTAATAATTGAAACATAACTAATGAAATTAATTATGAACCATGACAACTTTTTAAAAAAAAAAAAAATTAAGAACTAAGGGGTGTAAGAATTTAAAGGCATGTCACATCTAATAAAAAAGTAATGATGGTTTGCTGATGATTGCACAAATTCAAGGTTAAAATCCCATTTATAAATAAAAAAATTATAAAATTGATGAAAAAAAAAAAGAAAAAAAAAATAAGATGAGAATTTAGATACATTTAAAGTTGATAAAGAAAACATACTAGTAATGCATCAATACATTCACATCATAGACGCACGTTGATTTTTAAAACACTGAACCCATCAGAGGGGAAAAGGTCAGTAAAATGACTATATATATATCTATATATATATATATATCCCCACTACTTCTTGAACCCTCATACATGAAGAGTTCAACCAGAGATATCATCAATGACTTCAGCCATGTTATCAACAAAGTATTCAGCCACACCAATAGCATAAATTTTATCATCAAACTCATGTGCGAATCTAAGAATTCCATCATCAAACTCATATACGAATCCAAAATTTTCACCATCAAACTCATATACGAATCCAAAATTTTCATCATCAAACCACTCTTCTGAACCCTCATACATGAAGGTAGGAATATGAGAAGCAAGATTCAATATCTCGTCATCACACTCGTAACCTTCACAATCCCTAGCATCAAAAAACACAAATTTTTTGCAGCCCTTCAAAATCGTCACAAGATTTTCCCGTTTGAGGGATGCATACCTCAGGTCCAAGTACTTTATGTTCGGCAGTAAGGTGACCAGAACGCGTGCTTCATCTTCTCCAATGTAGGCTCCTAATCCAATGAAGGGTCCTGAAATTCCTAAACCAACAAAATCATTACAATGAATGCTGACTTGTGTAAGGATTGCTTCCATATTACGGGAGTTTCCAAGCCTTAACATCTCCAAATTTTTCCACTTGCTTATGAGACTTGCAATGCTTTCCGACACTTCCCAGAAGTGATAATTAGAAAACGTCAAATATTTTAAAGCAGGACACCTGAAATAAAAATAAACTGAAATAAATTCTAAAAGTTTTCCTCTGATCATAGTTTTCTTTTAAATTTCGTTAGCAAATTAGATATCAAAGGAAAAATTTTCAATTGGTAAGCTTTGGTCATCTAGCTCCTGTACCATTCAAATGTCTGAAATTATACAAAAACCATCTTCTTCTTTTTTCTGTCAAAAAGATGATCTTAATTAAGTTTCGATATCTTACCCATCTGCGACACGTACAAACTAGGGCCTCCTTCGTATAATCGCTAGGAAGAACTAGTTTAACAGCAAATCCACCACTACGATTGACAACAAGCTTGATCAATCCAGTTGCATCAAACCTCTGCAATCGATATTCAACCACAATTCTTGTTTTGGTGGAGTCTGAGATTTCACGAGAAAAAACAAGGTCTTGCCAGCAAAGAGGATTGAGAGTTGCTTTGTACCATGACTTGCATACGAAGGGAACATCAAATAGCAGGGAATCCATTCCCACTCTCCCAAATATATTCACCAAACAATCATTGTTCAGCTCTTCCCATTTTCGCCCTTCCATCTATAAAAAGGGAAAGTAAACTAAACTGTGAGTCTTATTACCATGGTAAAATTATAAAATAATAAATATAAAACAACAACAACAACATTTCCCACTAGAGATGCAGATAATTTTCACATTGTTTATATTACAGCATTTATTCTGAAAAAAAAAAAAATGCAGACAAAACTGGGGTTTCACATATGTATAAGTAAAATGGAAATTCACATTGTAATTTTTGGACAAACGTAAAACTGGATAAGAAACTGAAACACTACACGAGAGTAGAAACCAAAGACTATACAAACCAGTTTAATTCTTGGACAAAGACTAGGACAAAGAAGTACTTACAGCTCTAATCTTGATCAATCTAGCAATTTAAGCAAATGTATGGTATTGTATCATATATATATATATATATATATATATATATAGATGAGAGATATAAATGGGCAGGAGAGGAAACTGTCCTGGAATCCATGAGTCCCATCAAAGTAAAAAGTATATTAAAGTCTCTGGTGTCAATTACTCCGTACTATTTTCATAATCAAATCCAACAAAAATGACAGTCATGATTCTTTTTTAACTTTAAAAATTAATAACGTACAACCGCTTTAATTATATCGGTTGGACTTTGAAGGAACCATCGCAATGCATCCATTTGGATAACTTTATGTATTTGGTTCATCTTTTATCCAATTGTAGCTATGAAGCAGAGAAACCATGAAGAAAACTAGGGGGTTAAGGATAAGTAAAAGCCAAGTAAAGTAACACAAATGTATAATGACTCACTCTACCACATGGTACGATATTATTCGTTTTGGATTTGAGCCCGTACGATTTTATTTTTGTGCTTCATTCCAAAAAGGGTCATACTAATTGGAGATAACACACTTACATATAAACACTTCACATTTTCTCTACTCAGGCGATGTGGGACTGTGTATCCATAACTCGCCAGTGTGGTAGCTTGATAGTGTCTCTCGCACCCGCCCACGACACACCCGCCCACAAGGTCATCACAATCCACCCCCCCTTGGAGGCCTGACGTCCCCGTCGGCACACTTCCAACTAGGTCAGGCTCTGATACCATTTGTAACAACCCACTCCACCACATGGTATGATATTGTCCGCTTTGGGTCTCAGCCCTCACGGTTTTATTCTTGGGCTTTACCTTAAAAGGCTTCATACCAATTGGAGGTGACACACTTACATATAAGCACTTCACCTTTCCTCTACCCAAGCGATGTGTGACTGTGCACCCGTAACTCGCCAATGTGGTAGCCTGTCAGTGTCTCTCGCACCCGCCCACGACACACCCTCCCACAAGGTCAAGGTCACAAGGTCATTAATGACTTTGTGGGCAGGTGTGTCGTGGGCGGGTGCGAGAGACACTGACAGGCTACCACATTGGCGAGTTACGGGTGCACAGTCCCACATCGCCTGGGTAGAGGAAAGGTGAAGTGCTTATATGTAAGTGTGTCACCTCCAATTGGTATGAGGCCTTTTGGGGTAAAAGCCCAAGAGTAAAACCGTGAGGGCTCAGGCCCGAAGCAGACAATATCATACCATGTGGTGGAATGGGTCGTTACAAATGGTATCAGAGCCTGACCCAGCCGGAAGTGTGCCGACGGGGACGTCGGGCCTCCAAGGGGGGTGGATTGTGATGAACTTGTGGGTGGGTGTGTCGTGGGCGGGTGCGAGAGACATTGACAGACTACCACATTGGCGAGTTACGGGTGCACAGTCCCATATCGTCAGGGTAGAGGAAAGGTGAAATGCTTATATGTAAGTGTGTCACCTCCAATTGGTATGAGGCCTTTTGGGGTAAAGCCCAAGAGTAAAATCGTGAGGGCTCAGGCCCAAAGCGGACAATATCATACCATGTGGTGGAGTGGGTTGTTACAAAATGTGAGTGTATTCTCTTTTAGAAGAGGGTGTTCTTCAATGGAGTGACAATCTTCACTTTTCCATTTCTAAAAAATAGTGAAAAATTGAGGATTGTATATCAATATATTATTCATGGAAGAATGGCTTTTTAGATCATCTAATGAGAGAAGAATATATATTGTAGTAATTACCCAATATATATATATATATATTGTAATTCATAATTCACCATAAAAGAAAGTTTTTGAGATCATAATTTAATTAACCAACTCAATGCAACCACTAAAACTGAAGCTATAATTGTTTCATCGAAAGTTTAACTTAATTAACTCACTCAACATAACTCATGCAAGTTTTTTATACTTGTATTTTGATTTTATTTTTTCTTATTACAGTTCTTTTTCGTAAATGACAATCCTAATTTACATACCAACCTGGCCTAACGGTATCAAACACTTACTTCTCAAAGAGAAATTAATGGTTCGAATCTCAGTGGAGGCATGTGTGTGTGAGTACCAACTAGGAAAGGAAAAAAAAAAATTACATAATTTATTTAATATTTTTTATAATTCTATACTGATTTGGTATTTTTTTATTATAGTTAAATTTTAATTAAAGAGATAACCAACAAAGATACAAAGATGTTGAGAGAGTGCAGAAGAGAATATATATATATATATATATATATATATATATATATATTATAAAAATATTAGTGTAGAAAATAAGTAAATTGGAGATAGAGATAAACCTAGTGTAATTGTTCTTCTATTGCCAATTCGTTTAGTTTGCTAGAATAGAAAATACAAATGTATAAAAGAAAAAGTGTAATATGTATTAAAATAGAAGACGTGAGATTCAAGATCACATAGCGCTGCTCTAAACATTTTTATTCATGCTTTTAAAAGTTCAAATCTATATATATTTTTAAAATGTTAATTGTTATTATAATTCTGTGGTTTTTTTTTCCTTCTGTGTTTTATACATATTGAGAATAATATATACTATAATAATTTACCCATATATATATATATATATATATATATATATATATATATATATATATATCTGTACTATTATTAAATGTGTAAAGAGTTTCAGTGTTTCAATATTTCAGTATTTATTTATTAATATAAAAAAAGAATTTTTATAAACAAAAAATTACTTAAAAATTATTTAAAGAGTTTAATTCAAATTACAAATTACCTAATAAAATTTATAAAAATTAATTTAAAGAGTTTAATTCAAATTACAAATTACCTTATAAATTCATTTTTCTTGTCCCACATTGGTTTTAAATAAAAAGGATTACATGGAAGTCTCTTATAAAACTATAGACCTAAAGAAACAATAATCACACATTTCTCGGCGTTTTGGCTATAACCTTTCTTGGCCTTTTGGCTAAGATTAAGTGTAGTACTAAATTTCTTTGGGTCAGCCTTTTGGCTAGCCTTTCTTGGTCTTTTGGCTAAGATCAAATGTAGTACTACTTTCTCGGCCTTTTGACTAACATTTCTCGGCCTATTGGCTAAGATCATACTAAGATCAAGTGTAGTACTATTTTCTCAACTTTTTGGCTAACCTTTTTAGGCCTTTTGGCTAAGGCTAAGTGAAGTACTAATTTTGGTAGGTCCGTCTTTTGGCTGACCTTTCTTAATCTTTTTGGCTAAGATCAAGTGTAGTACTACTTTTTCGGTCTTATTAATTCAAATAAAATATAAAAATTATTACGTAATAAAATTCAATAAAAATATTTATTAAAACTCTTAATCAGTTGGTGATAGTTTTGAAGCCTTATAATGCCTCAGATGTTTATGTACGCATTTATAATACGAAGTTTGTTCTCCCATCTTGCATGAATTGTATACCTGGATACTTCTATTTTTTTAAAACTTTTTTTTGTGGTTAAAACTAAAGTAGACCTCTAATATTCATCCCAATAATGATAGTGTCATGACTAGGGGCGAGCTAAGGAAATTACATTTCCAGAGGCAAAATGACAAACAACAGAGAAAGAAATTAATAAGAAATACATTTCAAATTATATATTTCAAATTATAGAATCTCTAAAAATTATTACTTAATAAAATTCAAATAAAATATTTATTAAAACTCTAACATTAAAGTCTAAAAATTATTCTAACAAAAATTACCTATTTTATCTATTTATTATGAGTTTTTTAATAAAATGAAATCTAATTTGACAAGGATTATTAATATAAAAATTATTTATTAATTGCTATAAAAAGAGATTAATTTTAAAAGAGTTTCTATAAAACTCTAACATAAATTATCTATTTATCTATTTATTATGAGTTGTTTAATAAAAGAAAATCTAATTAGGCAATAATTATTTTAATAAAAATGTGCAAAGATTTTCCGTGTTTGAGTATTTCAGTATTTATTTATTAATATAAAAAAAGGGTTTTTATAAACAAAAAATTACCTAAAAATTATTTAAAGAGTTTAATTCAAATTACAAATTACCTAATAAAATTTATAAAAATTAATTTAAATAGTTTAATTCAAATTATAAATTACCGAATAAATTCATTTTTCTTGTCCCACATTAGTTTTAAGTAAAAAGGATTACATGAAAGTCTCTTATAAAACTATAAACCTAAAGAAATAATAATCACACATTTCTCGGCCTTTTGACTAAGATCAAGTGTAATACTAAATTTTTTTGAGGGCCTTTTGGCTAACCTTTCTAGGTCATTTGGCTAAGATCAAGTGTAGTACTACTTTCTCGGCCTTTTGGCTAAACTTTCTCGGTCTTTTGGCTAAGATCGTGCTAAGATCAAAAGTGTCGGCCTTTTGGCTATGATCATGCTAAGATCAAGTGTAGTATTACTTTATCGGCTTTTTAGCTAAGATCAAGTGAAATACTAATTTTTTTTGGGTCGGCCTTTTTGCAAACCATTCTTGACCTTTTGGTTAAGATCAAATGTAGTACTACTTTCTCGGCCTTATTATTACCTAATAAAATATTTATTAAAATATATAATTTGAAATACATTTTTAAAATATACATTTTTATAATTTCAAATAAAATATAAAAATTATTACCTAATAAAATATTTATTAAAACTCTAACAAGAAATACATTTCAAATTATACATTTCAAATTATAGAAACTTTTAAAATTATTACCTAATAAAATTCAAATTAAATATTTATTAAAACTCTAACATAATTCTTTAAAAATTATTCTAACATAAATTACCTATTTGAGTTTTTTAATAAAATAAAATCTAATTTGACAAGTATGATTAATATAAAAATTATTTATTAATTGATATAAAAAGGAGTTTCAGTCTTTCAGTATTTTTTTAATAATATAAAAAAAGAGTTTTTATAAACAAAAAATTACCTAAAAATTATTTAAAGAGTTTAATTCAAATTATAAATTACCTAATAAAATTTATAAAAATTAATTTAAAGAGTTAATTCAAATTACAAATTAT